GAAGAATCAGTGTTATTCCATGGACTTTCAAAAATTTATTAAAATTTTAGCAGCCTCCCTCACTGTCTATAAATACTAGTATGCAAGGTATCCCCTCCTGTGGGCTGAATTCTTATGGCCCCCGCCCAAATTCAGATGCTGCAGTCCTACTGAGATGGTATTTGGAGGTGGGGCCTTTGGGAGGTCATTAGGTCATGAGGGTGGAGCCCCAGCGTGGGATTAGTGTCCTTACAAGACCAAGAAAGCTCACCTTTCCTCTTTCTGCCCTCAGTGGATACAAGGAGAGGGGGCTGTGTGTGGATCAGGAAAAGGGTCTTCACCAGAACTTGAGCATGCCGATCTCAACCTTCCAGCCTCCAGAACTGTGAGAAATTGATTTCTTTTGTTTATAAGCCACTTTTTATAGCTGGCAAAGACATCCCTTATTTTCAAAACGGCAAAAAAAGAATTGGAGTTATTTTGACATGTCCCTTAGTTCTGAAACTGTGTTTTGGTACATGCTCCAGCTCTGACACTGAGTTCTGTGAGTGTACGGGGGAGGGGGGAGTGTGTCTCATTCATATGGACATATATACCCTGCGCCCCTTTGTTAGCTCAGTTTAGTGGGAAGCTCTGGGCTTTGGAGTTGGAAAGACAGACTCTGGCTCTGCCACCGATTAGGAGAATGATCTTGGAAAAGTTACTCCACCTCCCCAGGTTTGCCTCACAGGGCAGGGATTATTTAAAGCACACTGCCTGAGCAGACAGGTGCATAATAACTACTAATGACCAACTTTCTCTCCTCCAATAACACCCCAGGGAGGCACAGCTAGATAAACATTTTCATTTGAAAGAATCTGACCTGAAAATGAGGGAAGCCCAGAATTGAACTTGCATCTCAGAACTCCCAACTGGGTTTGACTTGGTTATGTTATTTAATCTAACAAGAAATAGTCTGCAGATTGACATAACATGGTAAAACAAAGGCAATGTCCCACAAACTAAGCACAAACTAAAATTTAACAATTCTCTCCTGCCCTTGCTTATTATTTTCTAAGTAGCAAGAGTCAGAACCCAGTTTATTTTTCTCACCTGAATTGAACCATTGAAAACAGCTGCATCAAATCTGTAAAAATGCCTGAAAAATGTGTTTGGGGCACGATGCATTTAATAGTTCCAGGTAGGAATTAGCATTTATGGGGACTCTTGATACCGACTGATGCTTGCAAGAAGTTAAAAGATCTGTTAAGGTTATGGGAAAGACATTACATTGTACACCTGGCCCGTCGACAAGTGAGGGTGCTCATGGAGAGAACAGTACAGGAATGGTCACTGTGCTGAGGTTCATAGGACCAGGAGTTCAGCAACCAGGAAAATGGTGAGAATCCTCTTGCTAGCTTGTAGAAGCCTATCACCTTCTTGCTCTATGCACACATGGTGGACAGGGACAGTACTCATCTCTCCATCCCCTGTCACCAACTCCATGACTCCATTTATACCTGATGACTTTATGAAGGGCCCCCCTTCATATATTATCACACTAGGGATCAGGACTTTATGAATTGGGGGCTAGGGTGGGGAGCACAGTCCATAGCAATTACCTCTATGTTCTCTTTGCTCTGATTTTTCATGTGAACATTTCCTACTTGCCACCAAATTGAATTCAAACCATGTGTCCACCTTCCAAGCTCTTCCATGATTGGGGAGCACCCAAGGTAGCAGATTTGCTTGTCCCCTCCCTGCAGAGCAGACTCTGGTCTGTCCTTCCTAGAAGCTGCACTAATCCACCACCATCACCTCTATTTTCACTCAGTCTCCTCTCTGGGTTGCACCAAATCTGCTCCATGGACTTAAGGACCAGCCATTTTGTGAGCACCATCCTTCTAGTCCCAGACCTTCTCACGGAAAAGAACAATGTCAATATAAAGTTTTCCTCTTGTGTCATGTAGAGGAGATTTTAGGATTTGCATGGAACAGGATTTAAAAAAGAAGTTGTTGTTGTTGTGGTTCTATCTTGTCTTAGTTCATGTAAATGCCAGTTCTGAAAACGGAAATTAAATATATGTACAAACCTTGTCCCAGAGCTACTGTTATTAATCCAGAAAATCAAAGATTAACAGTCTAGGAAAAGACAAAGGACATCAATTTAAGGTAAATTACAGTTGAATATATATAGGATCACACTTTATATCTTTACAAATACCAAGCGAATTCGCTGGTATTTGTGGTAATATAAGAAAGCCACAGTATTAAAGATTTGCCATTCATTGTAACATTTTGCTAAAAACCATTCATATGTCTCCACACTAGGATTCAGTATTAAATATTTATTCAAACAAAATTCCAGTTTGGGTTTGTTCCCCTGGACTTGATCTATGGTAATCTTTTGAGAAGTTTTGAAGATGAAGGCAATAAAAGACATTCTTGCTTCTGATAATTGTCCATGATAAGTCACTATTGCTCTTATGGCTACAAGGCATAATATAATTTAAAGAAACATCTGTCATGATTATCTGAAATTACATCCTAAGAGCAATAATCTAAAAGCAGAAAGTGTTTTTGATGTGCCTTTGTTACTGCTCCCTGGGAGTGTCTGATAAGGTGTCCACAGATAATTTGGGCTAAGCAGAGGCATAAGCAGACAATTTATAAGTGAGAAAATGGAACCTTTGGAAAAATTTCAATATCACAAAAAAAAATCACACAATACTATTTTTCAGCTATCCAAATGATTTCAAACAGAGTAAAAGAGATCAAAAGAGATAAGAGAAAAGCACCTTCAGGAGTGAGATCATTTCAGCTCCCTGGAAGGTGCAGGGATGGGTAGGCTGTATAGCAGGTCCTGCCCTCCAATCCAGGCTCTAGCATGGGCTGTGCCCCGAGGCAGACCTTAACAGACTGTATAGAGCAGCTCTGGCTTTCTCAGCCTCAGTCAAAGGCAGGCACAGCAGGACAGCAATGAGCACGTCTTGACAGTGTTCTGTTTCTCTGCCCAAGACTAGATTTACTACAGGCTGATCTTTTTCTGCGGCTACAAGTCTTGTTAGTTTTGATAATTGCTCCTTTTCTTACCTCTTCAGGTTAAGGGCTGGTACTGTGTGCTCACGGTTTTTAGCACTGGAAAGCTTCTCTCTCTTTGTGGTTTCCCTTATTTTGGCCACACCTTCCAAATTATCTCTGCATTAAATCCTTTCCCGTCATCCCTTTCTAGTTTGCCATCATCTCCTGCCAGGACCCTGAATGAAATATGTGGCGCATCTCCAAATCACTCAGGACTCTAACCAAATAAGGGCATTTTTATCACAATCACTTCCTTCCCTCTTCCTTCTACAGCAGATGTCTGTTGCTTTTGCTGCTCCAGATCTATTCTAATTTTTCTTTGCACAGCAGCCTAATTTTCAAGCAGAGGGCCACCTCTCCTCATCTTTCAATGCATATGGCTTGGATGAGGCTGTCTCAGTCCCAGCACAGGGCTGACCATATGATCTAAGTCATTCCAATTAGGTGTAATCTCAGGACTTCTGCTGGAACTTTGGGGGCACAGAGGCCTTATTCATGGCGACAAACAATTGTAAGAGGAAACAGAAGCCGGGGACTGCCAGGCTAAGGAAGAAGGCTTGCCTTAGGTATACTAATGAAGGGGTCAGGGTGCAAAGAGCTTGTCCTTGGACAAGGTAAGTATCAAAAATAGTACTTCTTTTATTTTTGCTTAAGCTCAGCTGAGTTTTCTGTCACTTGCAACTGAAAGATTTCTGACTGATAGACCTTTTCCTAAGAAAATACCTATTAGAGATCATAACTTATAAAATGATATCATTCAGATTTGCTGTGTTTATTGTCACCAAGAACCCTAGCACACAGGTCATAAGAGGCTACCTGTGGCTTGTATTTATGATGATTTTGGTGCTTCACCACCGGTATTTCTCCTTGAGTCCCTTGAAATCTGTGAGAAAAGGGACTCTACCAAGCCCAGGAACCCATTTTATGTTGAACTTTGTGGCCGAGACCCACACATTAACTGGTGCAAACAAAGAACAATGGTGGAAAACAGCCGAATGCTATGTTCAAGCATTATTTCCAAGTGCCCTTTGACTGGGCCTTCTCAGATGACATAGTTCACTGGCAGGAAAGCTGTTGTAGCTCTGATCATTATTCCCATTTACCGCCTATTAGAATGTAAGTCACTGGAAGGTCATCCTGTCCCAAAAGCCCAGTGTTCCTGAGTGCTCAAGGTCAAGTTCAAGGGGCAGCAATCAGGTGGAGGGACAATAGTAAAGTCTCAATCCTTTGAAATGAAGAGAATGGCTAACTCCCAGGAGCTCCCTGCAAAGGGAGTTTTACTATCTTCAAAATATCACATAACTTGGGGAAAGAAATCAGTGTTTTCCAAAGCAGCTCTCCTCCCAGAGGAGTGAACGTCAGTCTTGATTCACCTTTCTGCACCCCTCTTTATATGGACTAGCACTGTGCCTAGCACAAACTTAGTGCTTCTAAATGATGACATTCAGGACCCTCTGGCTTCAGAATAGACATAAAATATAACATACGAAGAGTCAGCACATAGTAGTTGCTCAAAAATCCCCTGCTGTTATTATTGCTATTATGTGTAAATGTGTCTGTTATAAAAGCAAGTCCATCAAAATCCACACAACTTCAACTACTTTAGCTCTTGAGGCATCAGTTCTGTTGCAAATCTGATTTATTTCCCCTCTCCTTCACATATAGACATGAGAATCAAACTATCCATCCCAACCACACCCATTCAGCCATCCAACAATTAGTGACCACCTGCATTTTGCCACATCTTGGACTCCATATAGGGGAATCAAACTTGAATAAGGCAAAGCACTTTCATGATCGAAAGGCAAGCTGGTTAGAGACAGACGAGAATGTATACAGACCACAGGACAGACACAGTCTATCGACTGAGGAAACTGACTTCAGTGACTGCAACAAGTGTCTGGGGAAACTGTAGGGGAGATGACTCCCCTGGGGAGATCTCCAGGGGAACATTTCCTTACCTTTTCTGCAAGCCATCCCAGATGCCTGATTTCTCGACTTCCAGCAAGACCTGTTTTCCCCAGCTGCTCTCTGACCTCAGTAATGACCCGTGTCAGCAGGTCACTGACGTTGGAATGGATGGCACTGAACCAGGCCTGGGCAGTGGCTGAGTCCTTGCTCCTTAGGATCACTGTGTGCTTAGCATCTGGAGAGTGGATTTCAAGATGCCTAGAGAAGCAAAGAGAGCAGGGTTAGAAGGTTTTGTGGGAGATAATGCTTTGTCAAGTCTTGGGTTACAAAGGTGAACTACATTCTTAACTCTTACTTTTAGATTTTGTCAGCTTCATGTGTTTATCCTAATCATCGCATCATTCATTCACCGCTTTCTACATCCACAAATATGAGTGCCCAGGAACAAGTAGAGATGCTGAGGGCACAGCTATGCAACCACCAAACTCCCTGAATTAAGTATATCTGGATTTCCTGTTATTCAGTTGACTGGCTTATCAGTACCCTATCAAAACTACTCAAATTTGAGCTGATACTAGTTTGCCTTACCACTCAGTTCATAGAGGATTTTAATATCATAGTCATATCCATGCTACTGCTGGCAGGAATTAGATTTAATATCCAAGGAGAGGCTTAATTTTACTTCTCAGTGTTAATTGTGAATCAAAGATGACCAAACTTTGCATTTTCTAGGAATCCTGGCATAGATACCTACCACTTAATCTTTGAATATGCAAAATAGGAGTTAATTGGCATAGACAGGGTACCAATGAGGAGAGAGATGCATGAAGAGTGTTATAAAGTCACACACCAAAGTTTGTGGCAGAGCTCCAAGTGGGTCATCTCAGATACAGAATGAAAGAGAGACACACTGTAATAGTGGCAAGAGGAAGACATTCTAGACAGATCACTTTTGTTCTTATTTTTATTTCTTGAAGTGCAAAATTTTTATTTTGTAATATTTATGGATTAACATAGTATTGCAAAAATAGTACAGAGAGGTCTGGTGTACATTTCACCCATTTTTTCCTAAAGGATGAACCTCCCCAAGATGTTCAGAACAGATCTCCCCAAAACTCATGACAGAGGTATCTCCATAAGAAGGGGATCAGTGCTAACACTGTCACTTTGGCATGTGGATTATTTCAAGCTGAGGCCAATTGGCTCATAAGAAACTTTTAAACACTCCCTTAACAACCTAGAAGATTAGAAATTGGAGATATAACCCAGATTTAGGATTTTTATTAAAAAAAAAAAAAACCTATTAGAGAGGCCTATCTATAAGGGAGGGCAAACATCTAATTACAGAGTGTCTGGTCATTATCATGTGAGTCTTCTCTCCTTTAAGCCCTGGACCCCTATCCCATTTTTTAATTCAGGACATATACCCTCATTTTGCCCCATTGGCTTTAGAATTCACATCTATGTAGATCTTTCATATCTGTAAACAATTTGTTCTTTTCTCTTGCTAGTCTGTCCAATGTTAATTTGATTGCTCAACTAACCATGTAGGGGAAATTTCCTCTCTGCCAGGACACCCCTGATGGGTGCTTTTTACGAAACTATAATACAATATCAAAACCAAGAAAGTGACACTGATATAAGTGTATAGTTCTATGTCCATTTGATCATGTGCAGATTTGCATAAGCATCACCATGATCAAGATCCAGAACAATCTGATCACCACAAAGCTCTTTCCAGTTTCCCCTGATAGTCACAGGGCTCCCTCGCCACCACCATCCCAAATCCCAGGCAACCATTAACCTGTTCTCCATGTGTATGCATTTTAGACAGATATTGTTTATTGCAGGGAGAAAATAAAACCATTATTTATTCATTAGTGTATATCATTTATTCATGTTTGTGGTAGAAAGATATAGGGACCCATGATCATCTACAGCTGCCTGAAATCCCGTATTAATCATCAACAAATATGCTCAATAATAATTTGAGTTCCAAATATAGCTCCTGCGTTTCAAAAATAACAATTTTGCAGATCACCTGGAAATCAAAAGTTCCAATGTAACCTGGCCTCATTTACGTTTGAAACTATCCTTTTGAGTAAACTTTTTAACTGTAAGCTTAAATTGTAGAAAAGGAATGATTTAGAAAGTGGAAAATCTCTAGGGTAGTTTTAACAATGATTAGCATTATTTTTGGGGAGAAAATTGCAAAACAAGGCTTCTTTCTAAGACTCCAAAAATTTTACATGTTGAAACAAGGGATTATTCTGGTGACGTTTGTCCTTACCCAGAGGGAAAAAAAAAATCTTCTGCTTCTTAGGCACTTTTAAAAGAATGGGACAGTAAATCTAGGGTAAGTTTTCCTTCCCTCCCAAAGTTATTACTTTTTATAAAGGTGTACAGTCCAATACAAACTAGAATTCCCAAAAAGCACTAATGAAGAGGGGACTGAAGTGATGGTGCATGGGTGCCTTGGTGAAGGAAACTATGGGGACTACACCTGAGGGGGTGGGGGGAAGCAAATATTGTTTTAAAAAAATAAAAATTAAAAAAAACAAAATGACAGCTTGGGAGAGAGCCATTTCAGGATCTCTCTCTCTCTCTCACACACACACACACACAGAGGCACACTAGCACAAGTGAGTAAATGATGCCATATAAAGAAAGAAGAAAAAACATTTTCTTTGTTGGGTTGCCAGCATACCCCCTAGAAGAAAGCTGATATATACACTGAGATACAGGCTAGTGATCTAAAGGCCCATTTCTCCCAAGTTTTGATAGCATTTATCATTATTAATAATTTTAAGTAAACTTTTAAAGTATAACATACAGACAGCAAAAGTGTACAAATTTTAGCACACAGTGCACATATAAGTTTGCAAAGGGAACACACTCCTATAACCACCACTCAGGTCAAGAAGTTAGTTGGCAGGAAGTCTCAATTCCTCCCACATAGGCCTGCAGAAGCTGCTTGAGAGTCCGTATGACTTGGTAGAGCAAGAAGGAACTATTACTCCCTTTCTGACCTACTCTCCCAAGTTCTATCTTCATTTCTGATTCATTCTTTTTGTTAGAAATGTGGGATTAAATCAAAGGGAGAAGAATTAGGATTCACTTCTTGAAAGGTGGAGGATCAAATAATTTCTTGACATATGTTAAAACCACCACAGGGAGGCTTTGGAAAGAGGCAAGTTCTGGAGGGAAAATTCGAGGACCATGAGTCAGTGGCCTATAAAGAACTCATCGACTTGGGTGAAGGGAGGGAGGGTAGTAATTCCTTTTATCTAAACTTTATTTCCAGATTATCAAATGAGACACATTGTGAACTCAAGATGGGGGTTGGGGGGGTGGGGCTAATGACAAACGGAGTGATGGGACAGAGTCCCGCATTGACAGCAACAGGAAAACAACAGAAAGTAACAATGGGTTAAAGAGCGTTGGCTAGTCTGGCTCAGAAAAGATGTCAATTATTTGCCCTATGAATAAATAAGTGAAGTGCTCAGTAATCTACACTGACTACCCCCTCAGGCCAGCAAAACCCAAAGGGGAAGAAAAAAAAGGAGTATAAGCTTCCTCCTTGAACAAGTTCTACTATCTAAATACCCAATAGTGCTGAAGCTTCAATAACTTCCTGACAAGTCCAAATGGTGATATCTATATATCTATTATCGATCCATCTCTTAGCACAAACCTCAGTATATGCACTTTGACCAAATTTATCATTTAATCTCATTTTACCAGTAAAATGTATGCAAACATATACACTGTTGAGAATAAAGAGATAAGAGAGTGAAAGGAAACTCCATTCCTGGGCTGACTGTACAGAGGTTCTATGAACAGGCCTACTTCTCACCAACTTAAGGAATATATTGTTCAGAAGGTAGCTGCTAAGCACATGGACTGTGGGTTCAGATTGGCCCTCAAGCTTATTGACTGTGAGGCACTAGGCAAGTCATTTAGTTTCCCTAAGTCACAGCTCCCTAATCTGCAAAATGGTTCTATATACTTTTATAGGGGAGTAAATCTGTCACCCCCAAATTTGTCTTATTGTCAAAAGGCTATTTCATGGAAGGGTTCTGAAGTCTGGGTGGAGGTTGCTTTTGATATAGATCTCTCTGTGAGGGCCTCTCTCTGGAAGATCTACTCTCCTTATCTCTTTTCAAGGGAGAAGGCACAACTTAATATGCACACCTTTTGTTTGCTGTGTTTTCCTCATAAACTCCCTAACTGACTTTCCCTCTGCCATCCACAACCTCTCCTGTTTTAGGTAAGTTAGTTAGGATGGTGTCAAAAACCAGTGGACAAGTTGTTCAGTCATGCTGGTCAGTCCCATGTATGCAGGAGGCAGACTTGTGATTATTAAACTTCTTTTTGGCTTTTTCTCTTATTAATCTACCTAGTGCTTGTTTATTTGCAAGCCTAGAAGAGCCCAGAGGACAATGGGGTGATATCCTTTGCACTCAACATTGGCCTCTCAAAATTACTGGAAATAATAAATGAGAAGACTGATGTAACAGATATCAGAGGGCAAAGCTGATCTTGATCAATGCTAGTTTACACTCTACGTTACAATGAATCTTCTTCCCAATCCTGAGTACAGCAAATTGGTAGTTGTCCAATAAGGCAAGGAGAGACCTCTAATTGGGCTCTTTTTAGCGGACTTGTAGGAAAATGCAAGTCCCAGGGAAAACTAAAAAAGTCACACGAGGACTATTTTTAACATCCTGGAATGAAAAAATAACTTTGGAGCAAGATGCATGAGTCTTTCGGGAGGTACTAGAAGATCTGCAGCACACCTGCTAGTGTGTTACCCCTTATCCCAACTGCAAATTTGTTCTACCTAAAACAAACTATTTGAGTCTCATGTTCAGGAACACAATTTGATATGAGTTAGGACCGTGACTAGAGCCGCAAGCATCTGTTGAAGTCCCTCTACTTTCTCAAATGTCTGAGCTAATCAGAGACTAGAGGGGTGAAAATAGGTGGGATTGATGGTGACATCTTTTTGACACATTTCCCCAAAGAATCATTTTGTTGGGTCAAATATCTCATATAACCCATTCTTTTAAAAAAGCAATTTCAACTCCAGTAATAACTTCGTTATTTGCAAACATATGGAAGGAAAACAAGCAGGAAGAGGGGAGGGAAGAAAAAGGAAATAAAAAAAAATCCAGGGTGGAAAAATAACTGAGCTCTGCGAACATGCCTCTGTGGCTGGGTGGTTGAAGTTATTAACACAAGGAGCCAAATGTGTG